ATAAATACAAAGTAGGAGACATAAAAATTGTCAATGCATTTACTTGCCTGTCAAAAATATAATTAATAATAATTATAAAAATTTATTCAGATATGAGCCTGTAGAAATATTTTATAATAAAATATCAGAGTCATAAGCTTTTAATATTTTACATTTCTGCCATTGATTAAATATATATTTACTATTTTCTTTAATAGTGAAAGAAAGTTCTAAAGATGACTCATTAAAAAGGTATGCATTTATAGATTAAAAAAATATCTACTAACTAAGTGGTGAGTGAAGATAAAAGGATTGTTGAGTGTTCTAGTCTGGGACAGACATCACATTCAGTTAACACTTGTTTTCTAAAGTTGTCTTACAAAGACTTTGAAAGTGTCCTTGCTATTATAACCTGTTAATTACTAATGATGTAGCTGTCATCCATAAGGTTGACAATTTGTCCCATATTCACTTAATTAATAAATATCAGGCCTGTGGTTAGACTGTAGCCTTACCTAGCTGAAAAATCCATTGTATTACCTCAATCTACAGATTGATACCAAGATGTATTATCAATTCTATATCATCAATTCAGAAATTCAAAGGCAGTTGTGTGTTAACTGATTTACATTTTACCTGTGAAGCCTGAAAGTCCAAGAAATTTGTCCTGACATTTTTGACAGTTCCACTTGTAACCATTTTTTTAATACATCAAAATTTTATGGAAAATCTCACAGATCTATGGCCACATGATTTTCTAATAAACAAGATCAGGCAAATACTGGCGAGATTATTTTTCTGGAAGTGAAGAATACCATTGTTTAGATAATGTAGTATTAATTATATTAATCCTTAAAGGACATTCTAACTGATTTCTATATTTTCTGATTTTCTTGTCAGTTATCCTTCAATTACTTCCCCAACCATTTTAGAAAGACTTTTTATAATCTTTTTTCCTTCTTCTATGACTATAATCTTTTCTTTAATATCTATTTTTATTGTCTGTCTTGTTCTCTTGGTGTTTTTGTTTTATTTTATCAATTGAATATTATTTTTTTCTGTTCACAGAAGCAAAAATTCAGAGAATTTCAGGATCTTAAGGAATTTCAGCAACTAGTCAAAGTACCCTCTAGTCTTTCATCGTGTGTTTGACAGGCTGGCCAAATAATGGATTCCCAGAGAAAGGAGGACATTTAGATAATATTCATTTAGATAATATTCAGGGAAACAGAGGTACAAATATAAAGACTCTGCTTTTTCTGTCAGTCTTTTTCTTTGAGTGTCTGAGTGCCTGTAAATATTTTAAAGTGCTTGCTAGTTATGTGGACCTGAATAAAGTGAGACTTGTTTAGGAAAAATTGATTTCATAATTTGTTTTAAGGCATCTGACAGAAGTATTCTAAATTATATATATATATATATATATATATATATATATATATATACATACATATATTTGTGTGTATATATATATATATGTACTTTTTAACTTTCAAAAAATTTTAAAAGATTCGGGGAGCTCTTTGCACTATTTTTGGGTAAAGGCAAGTAATAGGATATTTTTATTGGTGATTTCCATGCTGAAGAACAATGACTGCCATTTTCAAGCCATCTTGCTTATTATTTTACAGAGAGGGGACTCTGCATCTTGCTACCTTGTCTTCGATTATCAGAAGTTTGTTTCAGTTCAGGTGAGAAAAAAAAAATTCAGCCATTATTTGGGTTTTAAGTTCAGCCTTCAAGCCAGGCAATTTTCAAGAATAAATTATTCTCAGGTTCTGCTGATATATTGGCTTCACTCTGAATTGGAACTAAGAGTACCCTCATTGAATATTTCATAGTTTCAGAGCAGTAGAGGCAGAAAGAAGTAAATATGAGTATTTTTATTTTAAAAATGGAGGTCATATTTTGTGGTGAGTCGCTTCTGCCGTTTCTGCAGACTATGGTCGCCATTACAAGATGGCGCTGGCTCCGCTGTGGTCTGTGACAAACAACTCCTTATTTGGGAGAGTTGGCGCATGGTTTTTCACCACCCTATGAGAAAGCTGCACGTGGCAGCTTCGCATTGGGGCTTGAGATGCTTTATTAAGGCTGGGAGGGGCATCCGAGAGAGAGAAGAAGAAATATCAAGGGCCTGAATAAACTGCTGAAAGAAGATTCCTGAGTTGCGTCTTCCTTGCAGGCAAGGGGTCGCGACAATATTTTAATTATATTAATCAAGAAACACCATTTAATAAATTATACCTAAACTTTAAACAGAGTTTATTTTAAAAAGAAAACTATTCACCTATTTTTGCTTTACATTATTGCTCTAAAGATCTACCAAAAAACCTCATCCAGGTGATTCCTGCTTTGCAATGGATGAGGACATCTATGATGCTCATATTAAAGTAAAGTGATCTTTTATGAAATGTATGTTCTTGCTCTGAATTTTGTGTTTTAATGTATTAATGCTGGAAAATTAGATATGTTTTTCTGACATTTTATATGAAAATTTGCTAAGAAGAATTTATTTTAGAGAATTATTTTGATTTAAAAAAATGTTTTTGTATCAGTGTTCTCTCAAGAGGGTCTTGAGGGATGGAAGAAAAGATAGGCTGGGAAATACATAGTGACAGACAAATTGCATTAGGAAGAGCTTTATAACTGCAGAGGAAATATGATTTTTAGTCAAGGATTTTTGGGGTCAGTTTACATTATTGTGTCTTTTAAATTGTACTTACAAGACTTACAACACTTGTGCCTAAATTAATTTTTATAGAATCATAGAAGTTTCCTGGTGGTTTTAGCTTGTAATATATAATTTGCATGGCAAGTAGCTTTTCTTTTTTGACTTGAACCCTGGATATTTTTGTACCATAACATTTAATGAAACCTTTTTTCCTCTGTTTCTATCCTTTGCTCTGTATTTATACTAAAGTAATATTGGGAATTGTGGCAACTCAGAATTCTAGAATCTATATCTTAACACTTGTATTAAAAAGGGCATCCATATCTATATTTTCTGAGTCTTTCCACTAAAGATGACACTAATTAAAAAAAAGTATAAGTAAATAGCAGAAAGATCAGTAGAACAGAAGGAAGTACTAGGGTCTGAATTAGACCAAATAATATTCTATGCTTTTATAATTATATCCTAGTATATAACTTCTACTGTGATGTATAACTGAAAAGAATCAATATAAAATAAAAATAAATAATTTAATGAACCTTTTCTAAAAATTTTCTCTTCATCTAATTAAAGAGTAGATGGTCTATGCAAAGTAATAACCAGTTCTGGAAGCAGAGACTCTCAATAATTATATGGTAATACTTGAGTTTCCCAGATTTTTTTTCACTCTATAGTTTCTTACAATATTCAAATACTTATGTCACATTCTGAAATTTCAAATTTTAGATGTTTCTATATTTATTTATTTAAATATTCATTGTAAAACTCTACAAATTTTGTGAATTATTCCAAGTTAGGAAATATATTTGCAAATATCCTGTAGCACTTAAAATAAGGTTTCAAATGAAAAATACTTCTTTTTTTTTCTTTGAAATGACTTGAATTTTATTTCAGTCATGAAGAGCTAAAATTATGTGAGTAAGAATGGTGTAATTTTTATTTTGAGGAAAATAATGTGTAGAGCTATCATAAGGTGTTCTATTTAGAATGCTATTATTCATAACTTAACCGAGCTCATTTGGCCTGGAGAAATGCACTGTTTCTAAAAGCTGGTGTTATATATATTGTTGAACATGAATAAATGTGGAGAAAATAAATTTCTACATAATTAATCATCCTATGTAATATAATGTGCATGATATAACTAGTAATTAAGTCTACTGAATTTAAAAATATGTTTCAAGTTTGCATTCTCTTTTAATATATGGGATGTGAAAGTTTGAGTAAATTATCTCAAATTGATGTCATAAAGGAGGAATAAACAAGTTAGAGTAATGTCATAAATATGAAAGTAGGAACCAGAATATCCTTCAAGCCTCCTCCAAACTTGAGTTTAGATTTGGTCTTCAGATGAAAATTAGCTTGTTTCTTCCTTCTTGCTTATCTTTTTGAAAATGACTTATTTCACTGTCTCATTACCTATGTCAAGCAAACCTGGTGATGTAATTGGCAGTGCCACCTATTTTTTTTAAGTATTTTATTGTTTTATATCTTATTATTTTGTTAACTTAATTATATGAAGGTACTAGGATAAAAAGAGCATACATCTCTTTCTAAAACAATGACTTACTCCAATTCTTAATATTTCCTTGCAGAATACATCTCTTCAGTGTCTATTCATTGTGCCATCTCTGTCACCATGGTTTGTTTATTGAGTTAATGTTTCTGTTTAGCAGCTCTGTGTGGTTTATATTCATTGATATCATCTCCACAAGATTGCTTTCATCATTTCTTTTTTTTTTCTTGGAAGGATCAAAATTTGTATAATTGTTTATCTTCAGCTATTTGACACATAGGAACAATGTGTCACATTTTTCCATAGGATGGACAAAACTTATACTGTTTATGAATCCAATCAATCTTATTTAATAGATAACTCTAAAAGCTCATGTCTTATGAGCTTTCTCCTTAAGAGGTAATTCATGCCAATATAAGTCATAAAAACATTGAAATATCACATATAATTTCTCATATTATTAATCTTTTTCAAAAGTACTCTAAATACAGATGACTACCATTTTTATCCTATATCATTCAGTTTAAGAAAATAGTATAATGGATTTCAGTATTTGTGTAACAATCAGTTGGATATAAGTGGAGTGACATTTTGGAGATCTCTGTATCATGACTCATAATCTTTACCCCATGAGAATATACAGCTTAGTAAGTGAGAGAATTCAGTTTGAGTATACAGAAAAATGATTCAGAAACCTCTGCTCTTTCTGTTGTACCCTGCAGTCATGGAAAACATTTATTATTTTGTCAACTTTGGTTCTTATTATGCTTTAATCTTTTTTTTTCTTTCTAGAACACCCCAGAAGAAGGAGAAAAATTAACTGAAACTTCAAGGCAATCCACAAAGGATGGTAAGCTATTTGAAGACTGCCTGATTTTGTGCTGCTTATTGACTTGAAATTACAGAATTTTTATATACTGTTTATTTTGTTTTTATTGTCAGAAGTGTAATATGACACTGGGAACAAAACAGTGGAAACTAACCTGACAATGGTAACCCTGCCATTAAAAAGAATGACATAGTTGAAACCACACTTGTGCAGGCAATCAGAATAAAGAATGATTGTCTTTTCTTTACATCACCTGACTCAAAGGTAATGTGTTTTTAAAATTCTCTTTCCTTTTTTTTTTTTAACATATCATCTTTTATCAAGACAAACATCCTAGAAAGAAATATAAGGCTACAAGATTATAATAGAAAACAAGCAACAGGTGAGGTATATGTATAGAATTACCACTCATAGAATGTGGTGGGAATAAACAATTTTTCGGTGTGTCCTTATGGAAGGAAATAAATAGAAAATAAGCCAAAATCACAGCTTTAGGAATATGAAGCTGAGAAAAGGGGATGCATACAAAGAATTTATTTATGAAGGGAAAGATAAGTATCCAGATTGAATGATTGTCAATATGGCTGATATTTAAAATAAGAAATAATGAAATTAATAAGAGCAGCAATTGAATATTAGGCCAAACATAGGAATGTTTAGAGGAAGTACATGCTGGATATATAGAACAGTGTGTCACATCTGTCTATCATTTACTCTTGACATCCTTCAATGAATAGAAGGCAGGGTGTGTGATTACCATCACAATCAATTTGGTATTATAATGAATAGAAAAATAAGAAAATAAATGTGGCATATTTTAGATACTTAAGAAATCAATATTTTCTTCTGTTTTTATTAAAGCTTCAAGTAATTTATATTTAGCAGCAATCAGTATAGGCTTAAAACTATTGATGGTCAGTGCTTGTTGAATTATACCAAAATAGATTCTACTATCACATATAACTGAAAAGAAAACAACAACAACAACAACAACAAAAAAAAAAACATAAAAAATATGTATAAATAGGTACTGGTATTCAAAGAGAAATATAAATCCAAACAGAAAAAGTAACAATAGTAATGAACATGATAAATTAAAAATAAATGAACTTCTAAAAATTAAAAAAGGACAATTTTTAAAAATTAATGCACAAAGTTTTCACTATGGCATATTTGTACATACATGTAGATCAATTATACTTCCCCAATCCTATCTTCAACATTCCTTCCTCCGTACCTCCAATTTTATCTATGTTAATGGATAAAATTTATTATCCATTCATCTATTTTTATGTTGATCATTTCCACCTCTAGTTCTCTATATGAGAAAAATATATGATACTTTTTTTCTAAGTATGGCTTATATTGCTTAACATGATGCATTCCAGTTTCCTTTACTTTCTTAAAATTGATTTTTATTGTTCTCTATGCATAGAAATCTTCCTTGTGTATATATGGCACATTTTCTTTATTCATTCTCCTGTTTACAAGCATCTAGCCTGATTCTATAACTTGATTCCTATGAATACGGTCATGATAAAGATGGGCATATGTGTATCTCTAAAGTTCTCTGACTTTAATATTTTCCAATAAACACTGAAGAGTAGTATAGTTGAATCATAAAGTAGTTCTATGTTCAGTTTCTTGAGTAGCCTTCATACTGATTTCCATAGGAGTATAGTAATTTGTGTTCCTACCAATAGCATATAAGAGTTTTTGTCTCCTCAATTCTTCCCAGTATCATTTGCTTTCTTCAGGATTGCTTTTTCTGGATGGTGGAAAATGGGAGCTTGGTGTTGCTTTAATTTGCATTTCTCTGATTGCTGGAGATATTATGCATTTTTCCACCTAAGTGTTGGCCATTTGTACCCCTTATTTTGAGAACTAACTGTTCATTTGCTCATTTATTAAATAGGTTTTTGTGTTTCTGGTGTGAAATGTTTGAGTTAATATTTTCAGGATATTGACCTTCTGTCAGAAAAGTAGCTGGCACAGATTTTCTCCCATTCTGGAGGCTACCTCTTCTTACTGTTGCATGTTTCCCTTACTATGCAGAAAGGTTTCAATTTGATGAACTCTCTGTTATCCATTGTTACTATTAGTTCCTGAGCTGTAGAAAGCTCTATTCAGGAAGTAATTGCCTACATACTAAAGTGTTTTCCATATTTTCTTTCTAGCAGTATTAAAGCTTCTAGTCTGGTACATATGTCTTTAATCATTTTTGAATAAACTCTTGTACAGTGTTAAAAAATAGGCATCTAGTTTTCTTCGTCTACGTATGGATGTCTAATTTTTCCAACACTATTTCTAAAATATCTTTTGTCTTTTCTCCAACATATGTTTTTGGCATCTTTGCCTAGAATCACATGACTGTACCTGTGTGGGTTTGGTTCTCTGACTTCTCTTCTATCCATTGGTCTATGGGTCTTTCTTTACACTAGTACCATGTTTTTTATTACTATGGCTCTGTTTTATATTTTGAAATTGGGCATTGTGTTATATCTATTGTTGCTCTTATGATCAGCACCACTTTATCTAGGTTTTTTTCTTTCATACAAATTTAAAAGTAGGTTTTTTTCCCCATTTCTGTGAAGAATATCATTATAATTTGAATGGGAATACATGGTATCTATAATTCACTTATGGTACTAAAGCCATTTTCACAATATTAATTCTGCCTTTCCATGAACATAGGAGATCTTTCTACTTTCTATTGTCTTCTTTAACTTCCTTTTTTATCAATCTGTTATTTTCCTTGAAGATGTCATTCACTTACTTGGTTAAGCTTATTTTTAGCTATTTTAAAAGCTATTTGAATGAGTTATTACCATTGCTTCCTTCTCACCAGATGTGCTATTGATATATAGATAATTTATTCTTATATGTTTATTTTGTATCCTGTTACTCTGATGAATTTATTCATCAGAAGTAGAAATCTCATGATGTAACATTTATGGTTTTCTAAGAATACGACTATAACATTTGCATATAGAAATAATTTAACATTGTTACTTTTCTATTTGAATCCATTTTATTTTTTTCTCATCTCTAAAATTTTAAGTACTGTGATTAGTGAGATTGGTGGCAATGAACATCATTGCCTTTTTCTGATTTTAGGGAAAATTTTCCAGTTCATTATACTATTGGCTTTGGGTTTGATATACTTGTTCTTTATTATCTTATTATAAGCTTCTCCTATTTCTAATTCCTCCTGGCTTTGTCATGAAGGGCCCTTAAGTTTTCTCAAAGGCTTTTTTCTGTAGATGTTGAAATGATCGTGTAGTTTTGCCCTTGATTCTGTATGTGGTGTATCAGTTTTATTGATTTGCATGTATTGAATTATGCTGGAGCAAAATCAGCTTGATCATCATATATGGTTTCTCTATGTGACACTAGAGACTCAAGCCAGGAGCACTATACCACTGATCCACATCCTCGGCCCCCTTTATTATTCACTTGGAAACATATCTCACTAAATCGCCCAGGCTGGCATTGAAATTATAGTGTGCCTGAAACAACCTCCTTCATTTCTGAGAATATAGACATATCACAATGCCTGACACTGCATGTTCTTTTTTAATGTGTGGTTGAATGTGGTTTGCAAAGATTTTATGAGAATTTTTATACTATATTCCTCAAGGATGTTGGTCTCTAGTTTTTTCCTTGTTGGGTCCATATTCACTTTTCCAATCAGGGAAATACTTTGCAGATTTGCTTAGGAAGTGTTATAAGACCATTTTCATATGAAGAGGTAAATCATTCACAATATTGGTTTTTGTGTTCCTGGGGATTGGATTCTGGCTATAGTAGGAGCTGTCAACAAAACTCTCACACATGGACCCTGTGGGTCAGTCTGTGCTTAAAACCCCAATTCCCAACTTTTTTCAGTGAGCTCAGGATCATGCAAGACTCCAAGTCTTCATGATGTTTGGTCCCACTTTCTCTAAGCATAATAGAGATGGACTGCATGCAGGATCTGTGCTTGGTTGGGGGAGATGCAGGAAACAACTTTTCACAAGACTCCCAAGCACTCCAAAAATGTTCTACCCCACAAAATTACACACAACTCATCTCCTGTTACTAATATCAAAACACCAGTTTTAACAGGGTGATGTCCCCCACTGCCTTTCATTTTATAAGGTGGCCAACCAGCACACCATGCTTTCTGCTAAGAAGAGTTTTCAACACATCTCTGTTAATCTGGACTAAAAAGGTGAGTACCCACAATTCCAGTAAAGAGAGGCATCCCTTGTGTCTTGGGGATGTAAAACATGCAGGAGATTCTGATCTCTCAAAGACATAGTCCTAGCAATGGGACCTTCTAAAGGGGGAACCCCCTCTGTTAATCACCAGGGAAGTGATTGTAATTGTTTCAGTTGAAGAAGTGAGGTTTCTTCCTTCACATGCCTCTGAGCTTAGTGAGATGGCCAGACCCAGGAAATAAGCTCTCCTCTCTGGAGATTGTAATAGCAAGTTTTCTACCAAAAATCAATACTGACACTCACTGTCACATAGTTCCTACAGGCACATATAATTTTGAAACTTACGTCAGTTTCTATCCATTGGATAACCATGTAACCATGAGTACAGCTTTCCAGAGCTCCTTACAGGACTCTAAATGAAGAATTATTTTGGGAGTTGCTTATGATTCTACTGAGAAGAAGCTGCAATGCAACTGTCCTCCATTAACATCTCGCAGAATCCAATTGGCCAAAACTCTTTACTGAATTTAAAATATGATTTTCTTGAGATTATAGAGGGTGTGAGCCTACCAGAGAAGAGCTTCCATGTAGCCAGAGTGGAAAACTGCTGCAGTTAAATTCTTTTATGAAACTTTTATTACTCTCAGAAAAACATATTCCTTGTTTTTACTGTTCATTGGCTCTCTGTAATTGCATTCCACTGCTTGCCCCTTCCTAGTGTTTCTGCAGTCACACAACAATTGATTTAACTCAAATTCAAGGTGTAGTCAGTAACCACTGTATTCATCTACATACATGTTTTTTACCATAGTATGATTTCTTATAATTTTTTCTTGAGTTGAAAAAAGAAAGAAACCTTCTTTAAAACAACTTTATCATTTTATTAAACTAGTTTTTCTATCAGTAAAAGTTTTACCAAAAAATATTTAGATTCCTCTTAGCCCTTGCTTACCTGAATGAAAGAGTGGGAACGTGGCTTCTTTTCTACTTGATGTGACATAATTCAAGATCTATAACAAAATATCTTAGTTAAACTCTAAAAGCTTATAATTACAATGTTTTAAATGTTTAATGATGTGTAGCAAATATATATGTATATATGTATATGTGTGTGTGTGTATATATACACACACACAACTTACACAAGTTATACATATTATATATTATATGTGTTATACATGGTAGAAGGTCCTGTAATTTTTAGTGGTAAGTGATGAGTAGGGTTAGGTATAATGGAGTTACTTCCTTATGAAAATATGTACATCATTTAGTGTGCTACTGGTTGATTTCTCTCTCTCTCTCTCTCTCTCTCTCTCTCTCTCTCTCTCTCTCATTCTCTCTCTCTCTCTCTCTCTCTCTCTCTCTCTCTCTCTCTTTTCCTAATTCTTTTGATTGTTGATGGACCTTTGTTTTATTCATTTATATGCAGTGGTGATAATCAAACCCAGTGCCTTCACATGCAAGGCAGGCACTCTGCCACTGAGCCACAACTCTAGCCCCCATGTTGGTATTTCTCTATTGTCCTTCTTTCCTGGTTTTATAGATTTAGTAACCAAATGACTATAATATTTGGCTGATTTGCAGAGGATACATGACACTCTGATATAAAATGTTTCAATTTTTAATGTGTACTTCTCTAGTTTTTAAGTCTAATTTATTTCAAATCTAGAAAGCTATGTGTCTCCTTTTAATAGTGATTAGGAAATCTTCATGGAACTCATTAGTGATATTAATTTTACCAGAGTATCTCTCAGATTCTTTCTCAGAATGGTTTTGGTCATTTATCTGGTGATGCATATCAAAGGGCAATAAATGGTGTAAATGGACATATAGAAGGTAAGAACCATGCATTATATAATCATTGGATATAATGCATGTTTAAAACATGAGCACTAGTATGATTTAATAGTGGAAGAAATGAAAATAATAAATAGTAAAGAGATTGAAATAATGCAGCTTATCAATGGTAAGTTTGAGTGTCCCCAGAGGAGTTGAATTTTTATTAGGTTCATTTCCAGATCTGCTTAGATTAGAAGAAAAGATGGGAAATAAGGAAGGGGAGGGGAGAAGTGGGAATGAAGAATGAGAAAAAAAAAAAACTATAGACAACAACAAAAAAAAAAAATGAAGAAGAAGCAAGTGCACATTGATCATGGCCTGATAAAATGTTCCCTGGAAACATTATGACTTCTAATACACCTACAAATTGGGGGACAAGATAGGGAGAATTTCAAATAGGTAAAATTAAATGGCCAGGCACAGGGTGCATGCCTATATTCCCAGCAGCTCTGGAGGCTGAGGCCATAGAATTTTGAGTTCAAATCCAGCTCAGTAACTTAATGAGGCCCTCAGAAATTTAGCAAGACACTGTCTCTAAATAAAATATAAAAAGGGCTGAGAATGTGGCTCAGGAGTTAGGCAACCCTGGGTTCAATCGCCAGTAGTAATAACACAACAACAAAGCAAAAGAAAACATCAAATAGGCAAGTTAAGTTAGAGGAATTGGTAAAAGATTAAGCATGCATAAAAACTCTCAAACTTTAGTGAATCAAATGTTGGGTAACATGCACAAAAAAGAGATGTTATTCTTTGTATACATGCCAATTAATTTAAAATTTAATCGGTTATTCATATCTTATAATTCTTTGGCATTTCAGTTCACTTTTCCCCTTTTGATTACCATATTTTCATAGTTTATGTTTATTGAGCATTATTTATTATATACAGTTCCTATGTCTTCTCAAATAAGTGGATCAAGAAACTTTCAGTGGGTTAGACCAGAGGTTACAGTAAAAGAAGATACACCCCTGTCCTGCCTGAATATGGGAAAATAGATGATTTTAAAAAGTATATATGTAAGCAGATCAGTTCAGAGAACTTTCCTCAATGGAAATGAATTGTACTTTCCACTGGACTGTTATCACACCTTTGGATTTACTATATTATAGGACAAATGGAGGAACAAAATATATACCTGTAATAAAGTTGATTAAATGATTGTGATAGGCTACATTAAACACACATGCTGTTAATTTTTTTCTTCATTTTATATATTTATGTCCTGAAATTCCTGCTTTGCTCCTCTGATTAGATACTCCCATTCCTTCAATCACTCCACACCTTTACTTGGTATGTGTACATTACCTATTATATTTATGGTAATTAGAAATGTAATCTCACTTTTGAAAACTTAACTCCATGTTTAATTAAACCAATATTGGATTTTTTTTCAGTATTTGATTCATTTTACTACTCAACAAAAACCAGCAAACACAGAAACCCAAAAGCTAAAATATTCTTTATCAAAGTTAACACATGAAACACGGCTCCACATTGATTCAGCAGCAATGTGTGCTTGGTTTTATTATATTCATGTTTTGTGGATTATATATTTCTTTTGCTTTTCAGTATTTCAGGATTTCACACATTCTTTTGTAAAGGTAATTATAAACTTCTATGTTTATCTTAAATTATTAACTGTGTATTGTATAAAATGTACAAAATGTATTTATTATCTGTTTTCCAAACCCCTACAGCCTATCCTAGACAGGAGGTATTTTCTTCAAAAGACTACAGTAGGGAAAATTTAAGAAAGGATATACAAATCAGGTAAATTTTGCAATGCAAGTTCTGTAGAAAGAACTATATTAAAATATTTGAAATGCTAGGAGATTTTCTCCTAAGTAGTAGGAGGATTTGACAAAAAAAATTCCAGTGTCTATATTGGCATACAAGTTTAAAAATATATCTTTAAAAACACAACAAAATGATTTCTAAAAAATCTTTATCTCAGACATTTCTAAAATTAAAGTTCTCCAACTGGAATCTTTATACCTTGTAGGTTAGTTATGAGGCTCTATTTTCCCCTCATACTTTGTAAAAGTTTATTGCATAGCTGCCAATAAATTCCAGGTCTTGGGAGATAGACATAAAAATATTTGTTTAAACCCAAGGATTAGGGGTAGTGTGTGAAACAGAACCCACTTAAGATTTAATTTTCATTCTAGTATAATACCCACTTTATTGAACCCGTGTTGTACTTGATGCAACTGTTTATTCTGTGTCCATTGTCACTCATGTGATTATATCTGTAATAATTAATATGAAGTATTATTTTGTATTAATTTTGTTATTTCATATAATACTAATAGAGTATTTATAGGAAATTAGTATTTTCTGATTTTTTTAACCCAGAGTTGTAAATTCAAAATTATTTACACAAACCATTATGCATATTCCCTTTTCATACATTCTTTGCTTGTGTTTTTTTTGTTGTTGTTGTTTACTTTTTAATTGTGGGGACTGAACACAGATTCTTTTCCATGCTAAGCAGTGGCTCTACCACAAAGCTTTACCTCTGTTTCATTAGAGGTTTGGGTAATTCCAAGATTCAGGAAATTGCCCCCAGAGCACTGAAATGAGTCCCTTCATCATAGGAAAATGTGAAATTGAAATAGTACATGGTAAATCCAAAGAACTCAATCAGTTGCTATGTTTTATTTCACATGTCTTTTGAAACCTTGTTTAACAGTCTAGAGTTTCTTATTCCAGAGACTCAGCTTTGTCCTTTATTTACTTAATGAAACTTCATTTTATACTCGTCCCACAAAATGAAATATCCTCTGCATTTATTGGATCATTCCCTCCATTCTGGCCTGGTTCCCTCTTTTTGGCACTTCTGCCACCTGCTTATTTATCTCGGCTCATGAGTATGCTCTCCACACTTACCCTGTCCCCAGCATTTGGAACCATCTAGCTACAATGCAAATGTGACTATGAACCTCTCTCTAGAGCATGAAAGGCCAGCTTTTAAAATTACCCAGAAATCTTTCATGAGTTCAGCCTAACTCTATTTCTTCTCTTGCCTTCACTGTCCTCTGGCATTGCTCCTGAGCAGCCCTATATTTTCAGGCACATACTGACCCACTTAATGCTTAACTCTGTGTCCAGCTACAGCCTTTCAAGCTCTTTCCACTTTCTGCCTCTGACTGGTAACCTCACTTCATTTAGTCTCTGCTGAGTCCTAGCTTCAGGAAGCCATGATCCCTAGCATCTTTTTACTCTCTTCTCACTTACAAAAGGAGCATAATCAATTTTGGGTTCAAATAAACTGTTGATTCCAAATGATGTAAAAGAAGTTCCCTCGAGTCTAGGAGCCAAAGGGCTAGACAAGGGAAGGAGTAATTTACACAACAGCTGGTAGATATCCAATTGAACTGTGGCTGAAATACTAAGGTACTCCAAGGAAAGAAAAACCACTTTATGACAAGCAGATTCATAATTATGCAGAACTGAACAATCTGAGTCTGACAGAAGAACACAGTTTTCAGAATAATGAAGAAAAACATTTTAAATACAAGATATTCATTGATAACAGTATAGAAAATATCAGCCATTGTGGAAATGACTACTGAATAATAGTTGTTTTTAAAAGTTACTGTTTTGAGGAAGAGAATAGCAAATTTTGTGAATCCCCACATTTCTATAGTGTTTTTAAAATTTGCTTCTGGCAACTTTTCATTCATCTTGAGTGGATATACCTTTGAGATATTTTTGTGTCATGAACCTGGTGATATGTAGTGTCTCCCCAGGTCAGGAACACTGTTGAAGTCTTACATCACTAAATACATTACCTTAAATAATCAGTATTTGCTGGGTCTAGCAGGTCACTTCTAAACACATGTACTTGGGAGACTGAGACAGGAGCATGGCAAGCCTCAGGCCAGAACGAACACTTTAGGACCTAGCCTCCAAAAAATATATATGTATATATAGATTTTTGGATACAACTCTGGCAGAGCGCTTGTCAATGTTGTAAGTTAACCCAGAGGGTTAAATCACCAAATACACACAAGTATACCACACCAATAAACAATTAAAAAGGTAAATAATCACCTAAAATTCAAGCTTATTATTTTTATTTTTGACAGACTTCATTCTCTCTAAATGTTCTAAGTATTTTAAGAATATCTACATAATTTTTAGCTGATCTACTTTGGTTCTCATCATCTGAAGAAGAGGAGGAAGGTCTTGATGGCACCAAAAAATAAGCAGCCACAGGTATGTACATGCATCCTTTTAAATTTCTGGTTTCTTCCTGTTTTGCTTGTTTTAAGAAAATCAATAAGGCCAAATTGAATTATCTTTCATAACAGTGCTTTGAAATTCAAAGATGGTAATTTAATATTTGAGTCTAAAAGAATTGAACTGGTTATGAATCTGAAAATAACATTAGAATTCATGATAACATATAGGTAAATATTATCCTTGTGATTGAGGCAGAAATTTTCCAAATATTGTTTGTGCTTCCATTTTTATAACCATCTTAAATGATGAAGGAGTTATAATTAAGTGGTTTTGTGAATACTTATTTGAATTAATGAACATATATAGTGGCAATGGTCATTGAATGGATTTATGGTAAAGGATGGTCCTTTCCAGTGGCTCAGTTTTTGTTACATATGAGCATGCTTTCATGCCAAGGTGAAGATTTTCATACAACCTAGCCATCAGTGTCTCTATCAATGCAAATAGTATAACCTCAAAAAAGATACCCAATGACCTATTAAGGAAATTGAAACCTCCCAGAATGGAACCATTGCTTTTGGGTAAAAGCAGGAACTTTCTAGGTTTTTTTTTCTTTCCATACCATAAAGTAGTCAATATTATTAACATCTTTATCCAAACTCTTTAGTGAATGATAGAAAAAAAAGGCTTTGAATGCCGTTTTTTGAGAATTTAGGAATTTGAGGTGTTTCTTGCCTTTTTTTCTTATTGTCTGTGTTAGTAAGGCCAAGGTTTTGCATGCATTGGGATGGTTTTTTCTTCCAAGTATATGTGTGTGTCCTTTAGTGCAAAGCTTTCTCTTTGAAATACATCCTGGGCAGGGGTGATATTTCAGTGTCAAGTACCCATCTTGATATGACCAAGGTGCAAGGTTCACCCACCAGGACCTTTTGAAGAGTAGAGAATAACCTCCAGTAAGAATGACAGTTTAAAACATGTATCACCTATAAAGAAAATGTTTGTTTAAAGTGATCTCTCTAAGACCACAAACTAGAGAGGAAAGCAGTGTACATCTAGTTGAAAAAATAGGCAGTACTGGTCATAAAATTATTAAGGTGCAATTCAATAAGGAAGGACATTGAAACTGATGTGATTAAACATAGCTGCAGGAGGAAATAAGGAGAAAATGTAACAAAACTGAGAAAGTATTGGGTTTGAAGTGGCAAGAAGAGGTGATACAGGGGAAACATACAAGAAAGGAGCCAAAATGTTAGAAAATGAGATGGAACAGGAAGAAATAATGAGGAAACTCCATACACAACAACTTACACAAAAGCCAAGAGCAGCAAGAAAAGCATAAAATTTCTTGTTATTAATGAAATTGAAATGGGGAATTTTTGTTCAGGATTTTCAATTATAGAAACCAAAACCATGGTGGGATTTCTTGGAGGCAAATGTAATCCAACTCTTTTCTGGTCTCTCCATCCCAAACATACCTTATCTGATAGTGATTTGGTAATGGAGTACACAAGCTGAGTTTCTCTCAGTTTGGGGTGTGCCTCCAGAGCCACTGAATTCAGTGGTAGTGGAGTACACAAGCTGAGATTCTCTCAGTTATGCCCAGCTCCTTGCATGGGGTGCTTAGGGAAGGTTTTCACTGCATACCTTCAGTATTTTTTATTTTTTTCACTCAGGGATGTGGTATGTTTGTCTGATAAAACCTCTCACCATGGAGTCTGGAGACTGTTTTGTGATGCAGACCCCAATTGGGGACTTCTGCAGTCAGTGATCTCAGGGGTGCGCAAGATTCCAAGTGTCTTAGGGATTTCTTGGCACTCTCTTTGAGCATGGTAGATGAGGTCTGTTGGCAGAATCTGTGCTTTGTTCTGGAAAATATAGGAACATATCTTCTTATGAGACCTTGCCCCCCTCTCCTAGATCTTTCTGTCTCTCGAATTACTTACTGCATAGTTTATCTTCCTCACAACCACTGTTCTTAAAGCACCTATTTGAAATGTGCAGTGCCCCTGTTGGCCTCTACATTATAGATTGTCAGGTGGCACAACACACCTCTTGCAGATAAGAGTTTTCAGCACATTCCCTTCAGTCTCTCTCATAAATCCATAGTATCATGTCTAACAACCACCATCCTGTGAAGAGAGCTTGCACCTGCAGCTTGGAAATAGAAAACTGGCAATTCCTTCTGACCTGTCACACAGACAGACACTTGCAAAAGGGGCTGGACCACATGGGTCCATTACACTCACCCTTCTATTTTAAGGGAATAGTTTAGAACCACCTATGGGGCAGAAATTGGAGCAAATATTTCAAAAGCCAGTAATCATGGTAGGTTGACATACATGTATATATGCTCATATGTATGGTGCTGCATGATAAGAGTTTTCTACCAGATACATCCCTGGCATGACATCACAGAACTGCAAACACGACATCAGAATAGAAGTGTCCTGGGTTTTTCTAGTCCTCCATAGACCACAAGACCTACTGTAGCTGCCCAGAGCTCTTGTGTCTCTGTTTCTCATTTTCTCCCCCAGACCCAACCAGAATAGTGTTTGTGTGTGCCTCCAGAGCCACTGAATTCAAGACACAGTAAAGTATTGGAAATATATTTTATTTTAATTTGGAGGTTTCTGATCTCTTACGAGAAATGACTAGAAAAAGGACTCTGAGTAAAGGTGGCTTCTGTCCAGCACCCTGATACTGCTAGCAGGAATTTGCAGTCCATTCATTTCTCTGGTTGTGCATTGTAAATTGCACTGCTACAAAACAGTGATGTTGACATATCTCACAAAGTGACTTTTACTTCCTCGTGATAAATACCAAGGTGTACTATGGCTTGGTGTTGAGGTAGTTATATTCCTAGTTTTCAGGAGGAACCTCCACACTGCTGTCCAGAGTAGAAGTTTTTATTTTCAGGCTCACAAGCAATGTATGAGAGTGTCTACTTCTTTCTCCATCAACTAATGGGATTGGTAGAATTCTCCTTCTCAGCTCACTAGAGGGGAGCTTTCCTTTTTCCACCCTGTGCAATTTTAACCTAAAACTGCACCTGGATATTTCTCCTATTGTCATGACACCTGATTTTCCCGCGGTGTGTGATGATTTGCTATGATGTATGTGAAGTCCCTGCCCTCTCCAATGAATGTATAAAACTGCTGCAAACCCTGGTCTCGGGGCCTCTCAGCATCACCAGTTGCTGTGTGCGTGCGTGGAGGACCAAGCTAGCTCGCAATAAACACCTCTTTGCTGCTTACATCGATCTTGGGTCTCTGGTGGTCTTTAGGGGTCCCGAATTCGAGCATAACATGACCATAGAGCTCAATTGTACCTGGAAAAAGATATCAAAGTGCATAAGTGTATTCTAGTGTCATGTATAACTAATTAAAAAATTAAAAATTAAAAAAACAGGAATATGAGTGCTACTTCAAACATGCCTCCTATGAAAGAGTTCAATCCCTACATGTTCTTTATTTCTGCCCTCATGCTGTCTAGGACTCCCTGGGCACCTGGAACTGCACAGAGCAGTGTTCAAACCAAGATGAAGGAAAGAGGAAGAGATGAAGTACCTTTAAAAAAGAGAAAGAAGGTTCTGTGTTACCACAGTATTTTCAAACTATTCTGATGGTATGACCTTCAGTTCAGTTTTTTCTATCTTACTCTATTTTACATCTGTTAATCACTAGACTCATTATATTTATTAAATGTTCATGTTATTTGTACTTTGGGAACAGTCAAGATGACACATAACCTTTGAAAGACTGGCTTTCCCAAGGGCACCCAATTTTTAGGAATTGGCTCCACATGGAATCCATATAAAAATTTACCTACCCATGGCTGTAGATAAAAACACACCAAATAGTAAATACTTAGGGTGAACATTTCAGAAAATCTTGTACTTGATATGTAGACTATGTTAGAGGTGCTGTATTCCAGTTAGGAGTTTTGCTGCATGATTTGATTATTGCTGTTCTTGACATGGGGGAATATATGTTCTTATGTAAGATGAGAGATAAGTGAGTTTGTTCTACTCTAGTGACCATTTCACTCTATATCTATGGTGTCATTTTGTCTACCTTAATATATACAGTAAATTTTATTTTTTTTTTCAAAACTTTGGTAAAGTAATTGAGTAGATACATTTTCAAAAAAGATATAAAGTGGTCAGCAGATATATTAATTATGCTTATAGTGACTAACCATCAGTAAAAAACGTAAGATGATATTACTTCACAATTGTTGGGATGGTTAAAAAAAGACTAGAAATAACAAGTGTTTGCAGAAATATGGAGCAAAGAGAACCTTGGGCATATTATTTGGGTGATTATGCAAATTGGCCCACTCTCCATGGAAAACTGTAAAAAAATGCCTTGGAAAATTGAGAGTAAAACATACTTGTGACACTGCAATCCCACTCCCTGTGTGCATCTAAAGGAAAACAAATTGAGTCAGCCTCCTTATATCAGAGAAAACATTCAGCATTTTTTTGGGGGGGGGATTGGCTGGCTAACTTCACTTAGCATTGTCTTCTCCAACTCCATCCATTTACCTGCAAATACCATGATTTTATTCTCTTTTATTGCTGAATAAAATTCCATTGTGTATATGTGCCATAGTGGAGTAAGGAGGGGAAGCATGTGAGGAATGGATGAATTATAGATAGGGCAGAGGGGTGAGAGGGAAAGGGGTGGGGCAGAAGATTAGCAAGGATGTTGGAATGTGAAAGACATCATCATCCAAAGTACATATATAAAGACACAATTTGTTATCAACATACTTTATATACAACCAGGGATATGAAAAATTGTGCTAGGGACTGGGGATGTGGCTCAAGCAGTAGCGCGCTCGCCTGGCATGCGTGCGGCCCGGGTTCGATCCTCAGCACCACATACAAAGATGTTGTGTCCACCAAGAACTGAAAAATAAATATTAAAAAAAAAAGAAAAGAAAAATTGTGCTGTATACATGTAATAAGAATTGTAACACATTCTGCTGTCATTCATTTTTTAAAAAATCAATTAAAAAATAAAATAAAGGAGAAAAAAATCACATTTCACAGAGACATCTGAAACTCCCTTTTCCTTGTGGTACTCTTCACAAGAGGCAAGACAGAAGCAAGGCAACACACAGTGTCCACCAGTGAAAAACTGTGTGTAGTTGATGTGGTATGTTCCTTAACAATGTTATTGAGCATTCTAAATAGGAAAATCCTGCCACAGTGTTGACATAAATGCACCTGAAGGGCAGTGTTATAAGTGACATAAAACAGACAAGAATACTGTTTGATCTCTCTCTTACATGGCATCTAAAAATGTCAACTTCATAGAGTGGTTGTAAAGAAGTGAAAATGGAGAGCTTGGTCAAAGTGAGAAAAAATTGCATTCCAACACCAATAAATTCTGGGGATCTCATGTATAACATCGAGACTGCAGGTTACAAGAAAGTGTTGTGAACTTGAAATTTTCTGAGAGATCTTAAATGTCCTTACCATACATATATGTTAAGTAATATATATATATATATATATATATATATATATATATATATATATATATATATATATATATATAAAGTGGCTTGTGGAAAGCATTCCACAATATCTACCTATGTCAGCTCCTTTTGTTGTACAGTATGAATGTGTGCAAATGTAATTGTCAGTCATATCTCAGCAGAGCAGGGCTGAGTCTGCATACTTGCATAATGTTTATGCAGGCTTGGTTCTTCACTCTGAGCTGCAGGCTTCACACTGAACTTCCACCCATCCCTCATAGTCAAGAAGCCATTCTACACACAACCACCACATGCACAGCTGTGTCTTAACATATTTAATACTTGTTCTGTGATGCCTTTCCTAGGGGCCTCAGGGCAGCTCTTCTACCTCCCATTACCCCAACCAGACCCACCATCAGAGCCCTTCCTTCTCTTGTCTTTTATTGTCTCTCAACTCCATTACCTCAGTCCATTCCCATAGTCACTGCAGTCCACACAACCAAATGCCCAAGATCAACTCCCAGGTATTTTCAACACCCAGTTCAAACTCCAAACTGACTTCCCACCATCCTCCACCTTTCCTTTGGATGTACACCTCTTCATATTATTTCTTATTCTTCTTTTTCTTTTTATTTATTTTTTAAAAAATGAGAGCAGAATGCATTACAATTCTTATTACACGTATATACCACATTTTTTGTATCTCTGTTTGTATATAAAGTATGTTGACACCCAGTTTATGTCTTTATACATGTACTTTAAATAATGATGACTATCATAGTCACCTTCCTTGCTAATCCCTTGCTCCATCCCTTTTCTTCCCACCCCTCTTCCCTATCTAGAATTCATCTATTTCTCCCTTGCCCCCCCTCTCTAACCCACTATGACTTAGCCTCCTTACATCAGAGAAAACATTTGGCATTTGTTTACTTGGGGTTGGCTAACATCGCTTAGCAATATCTTCTTCAATGCCATCCATTTACCTGCAAATGCCATAATTTTATTCTCTTTTATTGCTGAGTAAAATTCTATTGTGTATTTAAATGCCACATTTTTTATCAATTCATTCACAAAAAGGGCATCTAGGTTGGCTCCACAGTTTAGCTATTGTGAATTGTGCTGCTATAAACATTGATAACCTCAAAAAAAAAAAAAAAAGATACTTGGGAGTCAACTTAACAAAAGACGTGAAAGATCTATACAATGAAAACTACAGAACCCTAAAGAGAGAAACCAAAGAAGACCTTAGAAGATGGAAAAGTCTACCTTGCTCCTAGATAGGCAGAATTAATATTATCAAAATGACCATACTATTGAAGCCAGATTTAAAGTTAGATAATCAGTGTAGTTAGGTAAATCGGGTCTAATACCGAGTGAAATCTAAAATGGAGGCCATGCTGAGAATGATTCCAGGAAACAGGACAACTCATGGAATGTTAATGAAGTCCTGAAAAGGTCCTAGGCCAAAGTCCATCCCAAAGAAATGTTAATGGAGCCCAGGAAACATCCCCAACAGATTTGGAGATAGCCCATCCCAGAGAAATGATAATCCCATCCCAAAAGGTGATAATTAAGTCCACCTGTGTCCCACCCCTCTGGCCTTCCCACCTACATTCCATCACTGAAAAAGAA